ATGGACAGCTTCAACTAATACTGAGCACAGAGTGTTCTTCAGACTTGTCCAGAAACTAACCCTGGGGCTGGGATTGTAGTCTGGTAGAGTGCTTGCCTAGCATTCATGAAGCCTAGGGCTGGATGCCTAAACCACATAAACCAGACACGATGGCACACACCTTCATCCCAGCATTTGGTAGTAGAGGCAGGGAGATCAGTTCAGGTCATTCTGTGCTATATTTAGAGTTAGAGGCCAGCTTGCGATACAAGAGGCCCTGTCTATGAAGAGAGGGCGGGAAGAAAAAAGAGGAGGGAAGGGACTTTTAAGCCACATGTGACAGAATGAACATAATTGCCAAAGATAATGAAAATGTTAACTCCTGGAACCTGAAACTTCTTCTACAGCAAAGTCTTTGCAAACATGGTTAAGGATCTTGGGGAGGAGAGATTGTCCCTGAATGATTACCTGTGTGAGTCCCAAACGGCAGTCACTGTGTCTGTAAAGGACAAAGACAGAGAAAGATAGGACACATACAGAAGAAAGCATTGTTATCACAGAGATTAGAGCAGTGCTCTGTCAGCCAAAGGAGCAGCAGGAGCTGCTGACACCTTGTTTTCAGCCCAGTGAGGACAATTTCAAACTCCTGACCTCCAGTTCCGTGAGATAATGACTCCAGTTCTGTCTGCACAGTGTGTGGGGAGGAACAATTACAAAATGTTTCTTTCATTCTTTTTCTCTTGTCTCCCAGGCTGACCGTGAGCTTAATATGTAGCCGCCGAATGCCTCATCCTCCAGTTCCTGAGAGCTGAGATTCCACTATGGTGCCAGTTTATCAGCCCAGCCCTCCCAGCATGCTTGCTAGGCAAGCACTCTACCAACTGAGCTACAGCTCCAGTCTGGATATGTTTCTAAGGAATAATTCACAGCTTTGTGAATTTTAAAAATTTGGAGGGTTGGTTACATTGGAGATCTCTAAAAAGAGCCATCACTGTCTTGAGTACCACTGCATTAAATGTGTCAATACGTGTGTGTGTGTGTGTGTGTGTGTGTGTGTATGTATAGGGAAAATAGGAGTTGGGAATTTCAGCCAACTGTATTTTATCAAAAAAAATAGAGCTAAAGCTCAGCTACATGACTAAAACATGACTGTTTTAATAATTAGCATTTATCAATTATTTTGCAAAGAAATAGAAATCAAACAATAGGAAAGGGCCAAAAAAAAAAAAAAAAAAAAAAAAGCGGTTAGTCGGCAAAAGCAATATGCTATTATTGGGCTCCTTTTCCTATTTAAAACTTTTTTTTTTTTTTAGTTATTTGTGTGTGTTATTTATCAATACCTCAACAGGCTATGGGTAGGTATAAAGAGACACTCTGATTTGGAAGCGTGACCTCCACTCTTACTGAGTGGCTGTCTCCCATGTCTCCTCTACTCAATACTCTTTGGCTTGAGTTTAGATTTAGAGCCACAAAAAGGACCTTTCTCCAAGGTGACTATATCTCACACCAAAAGGCAAGGGGAAGCCATTCTCTAGAGCACTTCTTGGCCTGCTGCCAAATGGTTGCTCAAAGTGTAGAGCTTAAAGCAGGGGCAGGTTTTTCTGCCCAGTGCAATCTTGGGAGCCATGGCCCAGAGGCAGCTGTAAAACACACGTGTTAAAATAACTTAGATCACTTGTGATAGACAGAATAAACAAACATACAATGGGACAACTAAGCAGCACAGAACTCTGACCCACAGAAGAAACAACTGCCTGGGTGAATAGCTCTGAATCTCCAGACTTACTCAATAGGTGATGACTTCATTTTTCCCCTCTACTCCCCACCCCAGATGAACCAGAGAAAACCAGCTATGATCCCCAAACCAAAGTCCCCAAGTCAATCACAAGTATGTTCCGTTTCTAGTCCCTTCTCCCACAGCTTCCAAGTGATAGCCTCCAATCAATCAGAGCATACCACCTCAACCCAGAGCATCACCTTATCTCTTTGCATTGTTTCCTTGTTATAGCAAGTTCTAAATCTGCTCCCCGACCCCACCTATTCCCATCCATGAATGACTGTTTTTGAAAACTATGATTATTGCCATCTGAAAGGCAATTAAAAAAAAGTCCCTAGAGACAGGGTTTCCCTGTAGCCTTGGCTGTCCTGGAGCTTGCTCTTGTAGACTGGCCTGGCCATAAACTCTCAGAGATCCACCTGCCTCTGCCTTCCAAGTGCTGGGATGAAAGGCATGTGCCACCACCACCAGCTGCTAAAAATTTAACAAACTGACTAGGCATGGTAGCACATACCTTTCATCCCACCACTCAGAAGGCAGAGGAAGGCAAATATCTGAATCAGAGACCGGCTTGGTCTACTGAATTCCAGCACAGCCAGGGATACATAGAGAAACACTGTTTTGAAAAACCAAACCAAATCAACCAACCAAACAACACTTGTTTGAATCCCAGTCTCGTAGCTCCATCCTGAAATCCCAGCTACTCAAGAGACCAAGGCAGGAGGATTACAAGTTCAAAGCTGGACAACACAGCAAGTTGTTTCAAAATAAAAAGAGGTGGTATGAAAATATAATTCAGTGGTCGTACCCAAGACCATGTTCCAGCAACAACAGAATTTATTCCAGCTGAATTCCATGGCACATATTTATTACTCCAGCATCCAGAGGTTGAAGCAGGAAGATTTTTCAGACTGAGGCCAAGCTGGACTGACTACCTATAGTAAGACTGTCTTAAAAAACAAACGGGCACAAATTTGACTATGTTTCTAGAAAGCCTGTCCTTTTCTCTTTGTTTTTAAATTGAGACACAAATTTTTATCTATTGCCTTCGATTTAGTTTTTCACTAAGCGTTTACACATAGGCACAGTACATCCATCCGTGTGTATGTATGCCACAAGTGTGCAGACACTTGCAGAAGCCAGGAGAGGGCATCATATCCTCCTAGGAGTTACAGGCAGTTAGGAACAACAGTTTGGGTCCTGGGAACTGATCCAGCTTCCTCTGGAAAAGCCGAGCCAGCACCTCATTCTTGTTTAAAAAACAAAACTAGAAAAGGACTATGGGGCAGATAAGAAATGTTTGTTTTCTATTTTTTCTTTAATGAATATGCTTTTTGTTGTTTTATGAAACAGGCCTCACTATGTAGCCCTGGTGACCTCACTGAATAGTCTTGGTAGCCTCAAAATCATAGAGAACCACTGGTTCTGCCTCCAGAGTGCTGAAATCTTCCACCGGGCCCAGACCGAATATGCTTTAGAAAAAAATTTTGAAGACACTTTTTATTAAAAACTCACTTTGCATAGATGTGCATGTGCCAACAGCCCATAAGAAAGCCAGAGGACAACTTTAGGGAGTTGGATCTCTTTTTTCATCATATAGATCTCTGAGGTTGAATTCGGGTCCTTAGGCTTAGCTTCAGGCAACCCTAACAATTAATCTCACCAAGCCCTGAATATGACTTTTAAAATTATTATTATGTGTGTGGGGGGGTGTTTTCAAGTCAGGGTTTCTCTGTGTATCCTTGGCTGTCCTTGAACTCACTCTGTAGACCAGGCAGGGCTTGAACCCAGAGATCCACCTGTTTTTGTCTCCCAAGTGCTGGAATTAAAGGTGTGCATGACCACTGCCTGTCAAAATTATTTCTTAAAAAGTACTATTCTAGCCAGGTGGTAGTGCACAGGCCTTTAATCCCAGAACTTGGGAGGCTGAGACAGGTAGGTCTCTGTGCGTTCAAGGCAAGCCTGGTCTGCAAAGCAAGTTCCAGGATACCCAGAGCTGTTTTACAGAAAAAAACCCCGTCTTGAAAAACCAGATAAGTGGGAAAAAAAAAAATACTATGTTAAACTTCATTATAAAAGACATTGCAAGTTTTAAAATCACATATTGAAATTAACCAAACTTAAAGATTATTCAACTCAATGAACTTCTAAACAGAATAACCAATGGAAAAAAATTCTTATATGACAAAAAAAATTACACTTTTCTAAATTATTGTCCTTAAATCCTTACTTACATAATGTGTTTTCCCTCCTATCCAAATAATTTCTTCAAGCTACACAACTACAACCTTCATATTAAATATTACTCCTCTGGACTGAGGGGCAGCTGGGAGATGGAAACTGAGGTGCATAGAATCAAAATACCTTGTGCGGCTGTAGTGTTCCACACCTTTAATTACAACATTTGATTAGCAGAGTCAGGAATACCCCTGAGTTCAAACCCAGCCTGGTCTACATAGTGAACCCCTATAAACCCTGTCTAAAACAAGTATGTATACATTTCCAGCGAATGTATTGAATTCCAGAAGAAGCATTTTAAGATTAAGGAAAACAATTCATAATGCAGAGTAGAAGGGAAGGAAAAACAGTTTTTCATCGTTCTCAATCCGTTTTCTTTTTTAGCCACCACCCAGCACACACACAGAGAGGAAGAGAGAAAGACAGAGACATAGAGAGAGGGAGGAGGGAGAGGGAGGGAGGCAGGGAAGGAGGGAGAGGGAGAGGGAGAGAGAGAGAGAGAGAGAGGCGCCTGCCACATGAATAATTTCTAGTAGACTTGAGAGAAAGGCTCCTGGGGAGCAATCCCTGTTTAGGTAAGGCAGGAAGTGCGGCGAAAGGAGAAGATACATGCTGACCATGGCTCCATCTTATTGGATTTATTTTCCCCCATCTCTGGATTGTTCTAAATTCCATAAAGCCCCCTCAGACTCTGCCTTCTTCCACTTAGACCCAGCTTTGCTGTGGGCTGAACAGAAATCACGGGACTATATAAGCTCTCCATCCTGCAGATTTTAATTCAAAACTCTTAAGAGTAAAGAAATAAATAAATAAAAGCGGTGGGGGGGTGAGAGGATATTCCGCAGCAGACCTTTGCTCCGGAGTCTATCTTATTAGACCGAGGCACCGCGGGACACCGACCCTCCAGGGAGGAGCTCGGCCCCCCGGCGATCACAAGGCTGGACAGGTTAGGACCCGGCGGCGTCACGCGCCCGGAGTCCCGTGGGCCCCGCCCCCTGGGCAGGCACAGCCAATGATGGTGCGGGGGCGGGGTCTGCCGGGGCCGCAGCCTGGGAGGCTTTAAAGCCGGAGCCCCGCGCTGCTCTCCCAGCTTTTCGGACCTCGGCGACCTCCTTGCATCTGAGTTTGCAGAGAACTTGTAAGTAGCTGGCGGCCGCCTCAGGTGAGTGACCTCAGCGGGCCTAAACGCTGCGCGAACGGATGTCGGGAGAAAAATGCAGAGCCTGGGGACCACAGCATCTGCAACCGGTTCTGGGGACCCCAGGATGGGCCAGGACCGCGGGGTGGGGTGGGGGGAGGTCCTCGGCCTCCCCGGAGTGACGGGCCCGTGTTGCCGAGCAGGGTCGTCGTCAGGCCGCGTGACTTCGGGCCTGCCGGGACCCGAAGGGGCAGCAGGACCCCCTCAAGCCGGTCACGGGGCCCAGGGCTCCCTGTGCCGCCATAACACCCGTGGGCGGTGGCTGCGAGGGCGGAGCGGACATCAAGCCCCCGGTCCGCCTCAGCCTGGCACCTAATCCGAACCAGGATCACCCAGGGAGGTATCGCCTTGAGGCGTCCTCAGTTCTGACCGGTCTCCAGCCATGCATTACTTAAAGTGTGAGATGGCAGCCTGGGGACTCTTGGGGTCACCCAATATTGTCAGTAAACGACCCGGACCATGTTGCCCCCTGAAGTTTCTGAGACTACCATGATGGCATTGTAATTACTGTAATGGAAGAGTTTATCCCAGTTCCTGTGCCACTAGGCAAGATGTCTTCATTTCTTCAGTAGCTTAATCGAGTAACTTTCAAAGATTAATTCCTGGCTTGTTTTTCTCCACTCACACCCACACTTATTAACACGTGTAAAGAAAGACGTTTCTGCCCTGTTAACGGTGGTTTTAACTATTTCAAATGAACTGGTTTGCTGCTGGGCTGGTGGCTCGTGACTAAAATCCCAGCGCTTGAGAGCCGGGGCCAAGTAAAAGAGTTCAAAGCTAGCCTGAACTACATGAGACCCTGTCCATGAAAGAATCCTCATTTCCTCTTCTTTTCTTTCCCTAGGTGTTTGAACCATGAATCTTTTACTCCTCCTGGCTACCCTGTGCTTGGGAACAGCCTTAGCCACACCAAAATTTAATCAAACGTTTAATGCACAGTGGCATAAGTGGAAATCCACATACAGAAGACTGTATGGCACGGTTTGTAATGTTTACAGTGTCTAGAGAAACTGGCCCTCCTCCCTTGGTACTTTATAGACAGATAGTAGCTCTAGAAGCCCAATCACACACCCATTGTTAATAGAGTAGAGAATATCCCTGTTGCATGCTTTTCGGGAGGAAGGATGCTTTCTGTGGTGTGGCTATTTATTTATAGAGTTATATATGGTGTTTTGCTTGCACCTATATCTGTATCCTGTGCATCCTGGAACTAGGGTTAATGGATGGTTGTGGTTTATATGTGGTGCTAAGAATTAAACCGGGGCCCTCCACAAGAACAAGTGGTCTTAACCACTGAGTCGTCTCCCCCAGTCCCTGCCCCAGCTCCCCCTGTTTTGAGTGGGGGGAAACAGGGTCTCACTGTTAATTCTCACTGTCCTAGAACTCACTGGAGACCAGGCCAGCCTTGAACTCACAGAGGTTCACCTGCCTCTGCCTCCCCAGTGCTGAGATTAAAGACATGTACCAACAACATACCTGGCTCCCCCTGGGTTTTTAACAAAAATAAAAATGGCCAGTCCCGTGTTTGCTTCTAGAATGAGGAAGAATGGAGGAGAGCGGTGTGGGAGAAGAATATGAAGATGATCGAGCTGCACAATGGGGAATACAGCGAGGGGAAGCATGGCTTCACCCTGGGGATGAACGCCTTTGGTGACATGGTGAGTGTGGTGGGATGTGACATCTCCGTACCTTCTCTGTATCCTTTTTACAAAAGTGTCTCACCTTCTCAACTTTGTGTTTGCGTTTCCCGGAAGACCAATGAGGAGTTCCGGCAGTTGGTGAATGGCTATAAGCACCAGAAGCACAGGAAGGGGAAGGTATTTCAGGAGCCCCTGATGCTGCAGCTACCCAAGTCTGTGGACTGGAGAGAAAAAGGTTGTGTGACTCCCGTGAAGAATCAGGTATGAGGGGTAGAAGAAGTCTCATGTTGTACAAACGTGATCCCCAGAGTCCACACTTGGAAGAGTGTGGTAACACTTATAATGCCAGTAAACAGGAAGCAAGACGCATAGGCTCCCCGGGCTTACTGGATGAATCAATGAGTTCCAGCTAAAACTGAGACAGCCTGTCTCAGAAAACAAGGTCGATAGTGACTGAGGAGCAATATCCAAGGTTGGCCTTTGGCACACATACACCCCTAACTAACCCTTCCCCCCAAAAGAATCAGGTGTGACCGTGCCTGGTTCATACCTTCTCCCACAGAAAGGCCATGAAGGGACTGGAGTTTGCTTTGCTATGATGTAGTGTGATATGTAAGGTCTTTATTATTATTATTCCTTGGCAGTTTTATGCACTCAGCCCCTGATATTCCCCTCTCAACCATACCAACACCACCCACCACTCCCAGTGAGTCTCCATCACACCCTCATGTCTTTTTGTTTTGTATCCCATGGAGGTTAACCAGGGCCACCCAGCCTGCCATACACATAGGTGTGACATAGCTATCCACCCACTAGATCATGGGCAACTCAATGTTAACATCACTGAAGATAATGACTGCCTTCCCGCAGAGCCATCAACTGCCAGTGGGTCCTCCAAGACGGACCAGGCCCCATTAGACCCTGTGTTCTCTGTGCTTTAGCCTTGACCCCACACAGTATTTTGATCTGTCTTGCTCCTTGGCATATTACACCTTTGGAGTATGAAACAGGGTCTCACTAAATAGCCCAGCCTGACTTCAAACTCAGAATCCGCTTGCTTTAATCTCCCAAGTGGATTTCGGTCATACATTGCCACACCCAGCTTCCTGTTTACTGTCTTTTAAAGTATGTAAAAGCTGTTGGCTATCTTTTTCTTGTAAATCACTCACCTTTTTTTCTCTTTTCAGGGCCAGTGTGGTTCTTGTTGGGCTTTTAGTGCAACTGGGGCCCTAGAAGGACAGATGTACCTTAAGACTGGTGTACTGAACTCCCTGAGTGAACAGAACCTTGTGGACTGTTCTCGGGCTGAAGGCAATCAGGGCTGCAATGGTGGCCTGATGGATTTTGCCTTCCAGTATGTTTTGAACAACAAAGGTCTGGACTCGGAGGAGTCCTATCCCTATGAGGCAAAGGTAATTGGTTTGTTTCATCTCTGTTTTATCAGACACAGTTTTCAGAGTTATACTTTGTGGGTAATTAACAAACAGCATTCTGTTTTGAGGGATGGTTTGTGAGTATTGATCTGACATTGTGAGCTGCAGATTGCTGTTCCTAGAACTCTTGTTCTAAAAGGTAAACAGTTGTAATCAAGTCTCTCCTTTATCTTTCAAAGGATGGAACCTGTAAGTACAAACCTGAGTTTTCTGTGGCTAATGACACAGGATACGTGGATATCCCTCAGCTAGAGAAGGCACTTATGAAGGCCGTGGCAACTGTGGGGCCTATTGCTGTCGCTATAGATGCAAGCCATCCATCTTTCCAGTTCTATAGTTCAGGTAATTGTTAAATTAGTGCCACCTTGCCTTTGGGGATGAGCTTTGCTTTCCAGAACAGTTGGGATTTTGAGTCTGCATTTAATGTATAGATGTTTCTATTTGACCTATTGGGCATTTCCAAGGTTTATCTTAATTATGTTGGGGGGATTGTGCATGTATGTGCAGGTGTCCTAGAATCCTGAAGTATCAGATCCCCTGGCACAATTGTAAGCCACCTACTATGGGTGCTGGAACCAAGCTCAGGTTCCCTGCAAGAGCAGTGAATACACTTAACAACTGAGCCAACTCTCCAGCACCTTCCTCTTTTTAAAAATTTAATGCATGCATATGTATTATGCTTTGCATGCATATGGAGATTAGGGGACAACTTTCAGGAATCAGTTCTTTCCACTGTGTATGGTCCCAGCATCAAACAGGCCCTGAGCCTCGTTAACAGGCATCTTTACTTGCTGAGCCATCTCATCATCTGAAATATTTCTGTAAATATTGTGAATTACTTCTATAGATAGAACCTAATTTACCTAACTCTTCAAAAGATTTTTTTTTATTATTATTATTGCTATAAGGACTTTAAAGAGCATGTTGTTCAATCATAAGGGGAGGGGAAAAAATGTTTGCTCGTCCATAAGCTTTCTCTTTAGATTTAAGAGTAATGGGTTTTGCTTATTGGTATGCTAGCTAGAATATGGATCCTATCACCATAGGCTTTAAAACAATTGAATTTTTTTTTTTTAATTGAGTGAGGATGTCACTCAGCTGATAGTGTTGCCTGGCGTTCTTGAAACCCTGGTTCAATCACAACACCACATAAGCCAGACATTGTAGTTCATTCCTGTAATCCCAGCACTCAGAAGGCAGAGGCAGGAGGATCAGGCAGTCAAGCCCATCCTTAGCTTCATAGCAGGTTGGAGAGCAGCTTGGACTACATAACATTGTCTCAAATACTGAGATGGGATTTCATTATTACCACCCTGGCTGGCCTAGAACTCTCCATGTAGACCAGGCTAGCCTCAGATACCTGTCTCTGCTGTGCTGGGATCAGGGCATAGCCACTATTATTTTTTGACTAACAACTTATATAGAATTTGGGATCTGTAATATTGTGGGGGACAGGGTGGGTGGCTGTCCTATGGTGACTGGAACCTCTTACTCCATGTTCATTTAACTCTGCCAGGCATCTACTTTGAACCGAACTGTAGCAGCAAGGACCTCGACCATGGCGTTCTGGTGGTTGGCTATGGATTTGAGGGAACAGATTCAAATAAGAAAAAATATTGGATTGTCAAGAACAGGTAAGACTCTAAATATTGTATTTTAAATTGAAAAGAGAATTCTTTTGAGGGGGAATCCATATTTAGATGCAAGTCCACAGACGTTCAGATTTTAAAATCCTGGAAATCTTTATCATATTTAGAGTTGAAGTATTTGTGTTTAAGATTCTGGACAAAGCTTGTTGAGGGAGATTTATACATATTTGTAACATTGAATTTCCAAGTTTGGCCCCAAAATTTCACTAAGGCTGTGAGACCTTTGTAATTTTAGCCTGTTTTTCTTTCTCTAGTTTTCAGCAAGAGATAGCCAGCAGAAACCTTAACCCTGTGTTATCTGCTACCTCCCTGTGTTATCTGCATTTTGCTCTCAGCAGCCTTAAAGCCTGTCAGAATTAAGTCTCACAACTAATTATCTTTCATTGAGATAAAACATAACCTTGGAATTGGAGACATAGCGTTCTGTTAGAATCTTAGTTTGCCTCATTTTCCTCTTAAAAGTTAAAGAGGGTGCTAAGGGCGTAGCCCCATTGGTAAAGTACTTGCCTAAAGTATGCAGAACTCTGGGTTCGCTCTCCAGCACCACCACGTAAAACCTGGTATGGTGCGTGCACCTGTATCCCAACACTGATGGAGGTAGGAGGTCCAAGAATTCGAGGGCATCGTCTTTTAGCGAATGAGTGAGGTTAACTTTGGCTACGCAAAACAGGGCTGAGGCCTATGATTCAGTGGATAAAGTGCTTGCCACTCAGTCCCGGCACCCACATAAAAGCCATATATTGCAACACACAACTGTATGCCCAGTGTAGGGCAGTGGGGGGGGGGGGGCGGGCTGTGCGCTCCAGGCTCAATGAGAAATCCTATCAAGAAAGGAAGAGAGTGAGGGGAGACAGGAAGGAGTGTCTCACTCACAGCTGTCTTGTTTTCAAGGTTAATTATTAATCATTCTCATATTTCCTTGAATCTCTTTCAGCTGGGGTTCTGAATGGGGTATGGGAGGCTTCTTCCATATAGCCAAAGACAAGAACAACCACTGTGGAGTTGCTACTGCGGCCAGCTATCCTACTGTGAATTGATGGAACGTGGTAATTAAAGACGTATGGGTACTAAGTCTGAAGGGATTTATCTTAAAATTGACCAAACCCTTACTGAGACTATAGTACTTGAATCATTGAAGATCCAAGTCATGATTCGAACTCTGTGACATTTTTACATGGGTTAAATATTTACCACTACTTAAACTACTCTTATACACAGCTTTATAATATTGAACACTCACTGCCCAATTCTGAGTCTGGAATATTTGTTTTGTAAAGGATGTATAAAGCTTTGTTTAGCTTTTAAAAATAAATTTTAGTTCAGTGTGTATATAAGTGGGACTTCCTTTTGTAATGTGTTGACAAGACTTGGCTTGGGGTGTCCTGATACAGCATGAGAAAAGTGACAGGTGCTGCTGGGGCCGCCTTATTTTAAGGACACATAGATTTTGTCTACCTCCTCCGTTTCCCATCAGGGATGTGTAAGTGAATCTAGATCATGGGGTGATTGGATGTGTGTGCATAGGTCAAAAAATAACTTGGAGTCAGTTCTTTCCTTATACATTATTGGTCCTAGGGATCAATCTGGTTGTCAGGCTGGCCACAAGTGCCTTTTAACACTGAGCCATCTTGCCAGCCCCACTGGTTTTAAGTGGCATATAATTGCACATGTTTATGAAATACAGTAGAATGTTTTGATACATGTATAATATGAAATAATTGGATAGGGCTAATGAGCTCACCTCAAATATTTTATCACTTTAACTTCTTTAGCTGTTTTTAAAGTACATAGCATATTACTGTTAGAAACAGTCTTATTTTGTAGTCTAGGCTGGCCTTAAACCAACATCCCCCTCCTTCAGCCTTCCAAGGGCTAAAATAATAAGCACGTATTATTATACCCAATCTTAAGTCTTATTCTTTTGGATTTGTTGAGTTTTGCCAGATGTAAGAGCAAAGTGTTCCACGCAGTGGTTCTCAACCTTCCTAATGTTGTGACCCTTTAATACAGTTCCTCATGTTGTGGTTACCCCCACAACCATAAAATTATCTTTGCTGCTACTTCATAACTGTATTTTGCTACTGTTACAAATCATAAGTTTGCCAAAGGAGTCTTGAACCACGGACTGTTGTAGAGAGTGAGCAGGCATTCAGACTCAGATGTGTGGGCTTTACATTTCGGTTGCTTCACTGACTGGAAGGGGTTAGGTGTGAGGAGGTTACAAGAGCACCTCCCTACATTGCTGGTGAAGACCACAATACTGCTTCATAGTTCGAGAACAGACCAGACAGGGTTGCTCGGACACTTGTTTCTGGCATGCCATCTCTGCCGACATTCCACATGACTCTCCTGGGAAACCTCCTGCTACCCAGGATTGGCAACATGATGTGATTAATATATGGTTACAACAATACATACGATTAACATATCTCAGGAATTTGGTAACAGGAAGTTTGTTTAGTTTTTTTGGTTGGTTGGTTTTTGGTTTGTGTTTTTTAGTCTGAGACAAGGTTTCTCTGAGTAACCCTGACTGTCCTGGAACTAACTCTGTAGACCAGGCTGGCCTTGAACTCACAGAGATTCTCCTATCTCTGCCTCCCGAGTGTTGGGATTAAAGGCATGCACCACCACTGCCTGGCATTTGTTTTTAAGACAGAGTCTCTCTACATAGCCCTGGCTGCCCTGAAGCTCTCTTTATTATACCAGGTGGGCCACAACTCAGAGATCCACCTAGTTCTGTCTCCCGATTGCTGGGATTAAAGATGGACACCACTAGCCAGGCCATGGTGTGTAACGAGTACGGTTTTTCTGCCTGCCGCTTGGTCTTGTCCTGCTGCTGCGCCAGCCCCAAATAATACACAGAGACTCTGTATTTGATACAATGCTGTTGGCCCGGTTACTTGTTTCTTATCGACTAGCTCTGCCTTAATTATTAACCCATTTCTGCTGATCTATGTATTTTCACATGGCCTTCTCTTACCGGGGAGGCGGCTGGCGTCCAGCTCTCTCCTGACTCTCCATCTTGACTCCTCCTTACTACTTCCTATTTCCTCCTTGTCTCCTAGTCCCTCCTATCTTCCTTTCCTATTGGCCAACAGTGCTTTATTATTAACCAGTATGAGAAACATACAGAATGACCTCTCCCATCAATGGTGTTGCACGTCCTCAATCCCAGCACTCAGGAGGCAGAGGCAGGTGGATCTCAGAGTTTGAGACCAGCCTTGCCTGGTCTTCAGAGTAAGTTCCAAGATAGGCTCCACAACTACACAGAGAAACCCTGTCTCAGAAAACAAAAAAAAAAAACTGATGTACACTACTACACCCAGCAGTATTTTGTTTAAAAGGTAATGAAAATATTCCTACATTTTGCGGGCCAAATGTATGTGCATGTATAAAATGTATTAAGATCTATGTATGTCCTCAGTCAAATAAGGAAATGCAGATGATAAACTGGTGAAATACTTAGAGCCATAAGCTGTTGTGACAGAAATGGGTCAACAGGGATCAATCACTATGAGAAGACCTTTGCTCACAGCCATCTACCAGACTGTATTTTCTAAAAAGGTTTTATTCATTCATTCAATTTTTGAGACAAGGTCTCTACATAACTGTTACTATAACAGAACTTTTAAGTAGACCTGGCTGGCTTAAAATTCAGAGATCTACCTGCCTCTACCTCCCCAGTGCTTGGGTTAAAGGCATGATGTGCCACAATGCCTAGCTCTTAAATTTCTTTAGTTTTTTTTTTTTAATTATTATTACACATTTATTTTGAGGGGGACTATGTGTGCCCACATATTTTCATGCCATTACCAACATGTTGCTAGAGAAGAACCTGAGAGTCCTACATCTTGCAGGCAACAGGAAGTGAACTGAGACTCTGGGTAGTATCTTGAGCATATATGAGACCTCAAAGCCCACCCCCAAAGTGACCACTTCCTCCAACCAGACCACATCTCCTAATAGTGCCACTCCTTTTAGGGCCTATTCTCTTCCAGGCCACTACAGAGCCACCTGAAAATATTTTTCAAAGATACTGATAGGTGTGAAAAATCATGTCAGAATCGCAAACATGTAATAGTGTTTTCTTGACTCTAGCATCTAAATATCTTAAAGTGCAATAGAAGTATGGAAAGGTGAAAAATGAAAATCAAGATGGCCAGCTCACTTCACAGGGTAAGCTATGATACAGGTGTCTTATTAGGAATAAATAGGAAAACCCCATAGCATATGCATGTCATGTTTGTTTTGCCTATGGCATTTGAAATTAATCCCTTATTACATTTATTTACTGGGGATGGGGCATGCATGTGCTGGTTTGAGTGAAAATGAACTCCATAGGCTCTTAAGTTAGAATGCTTGGTCTCCAGTTGGTGGAACTGCTTGGGAAGGATTAGGAGGTGCTGTCACTGGGGTGGATGTTGAAGCTTCAGAAGCCCATGCCATTCAGTTAGCTCTCTTTGTACTTGTTATCTTAATGTGTAAGCTTTTAGCTACTGCCCCAGTGCCCTGTCTACCAGCCAGCCACCATGCTTTCTGCCATGATGGTCATGGACTAACCTGAAATTGTAAGCCATGAACTACTTGCTTTTTATAACTTCACTTATTTGTGGTGTTTTGTCATGGCAATAAAAATAACTAAGACAGAAGGAAACCCCTGAAATATACAAATGTCCCTTATCCTCTCTTTCTATATGAAGCCATTCCCAGAACTGGCCCTACTCCCTACATTTTAAAACTTTGTCATTCTTGTTATTTTCTCATTGAAATGTCCATTAGATACCTAGGCTCTGAGCTGCCTCTGGGGACAAAAGAATGAAATAAATAATCATGGTTCCTCCCAATCCATATACACGTAACACATTTCCATTACCATGGCCACTTGTATGGATAATACTGTGCTGCAGGAGAAGGTCAACAGGTACCTATATATTGTCAGAGTATCATAGTCACGTGAATATTAAAATCTCTCCTATGACGCCTTAGGATATAATCATTACCTCCCACCCACCCATTTTCTTTTTTTCACCTTAAAAATTGTTGAGCCCACATATCTACTGTCTTTTGCTTCTTCCAAGTTTCTGACCATTCAAACCCTTGGCTGCAAAGTCAGCATATAGTTGTATCTAGCCATTTCCCCTTCCAAGCAAAATGGATTATCAGGGCTTTCCTGGCCCTGTCCTGTAGGGACATTCCAGCAAGCAATATAGTACTGCCACTCTGGTGCTGTGTGCAATAGTGTTCCAAACCCACTGAACTGGACCCAAGTTTTCTCTTCGAGCTGGAGAGACTAACAGGACCAAGGGCCATCAGCATTTAGAACATATTCCTGAATAACTTACTAGTACTTTATCAAGCTCAACTATATGCACAACTTCCTTTCGGTCACATTTTAGGTCATGGTGGATCAGACAACACCCAGTTTATGGCAGACAATTTTGTTCACCGGGTAACTAGATGGTACACAACCTACTACAGAACTGACTTGGAGAGAGAGCATAGTGGGTAAAACCACTTGCCATGTAAGGGCAAGAACTCGAGTCCAGATTCCCCAGAGAATACACAAAACCAGGTAAAGTAGCACATCCCTGTCATTGCAGGGCTTCTACAGCGAGATGGGAGGTAGAGACAAGAATCCCCAGAAGCTCCCAGGCTAGTTAGGTGGTCTTACTTAACACCTGTTTGAAACAAGGTGGAAGGCAAAAGTTGACATCCTATGTTGTCCTCTAACCTTGACACTGCCCTACAGGATGTGGACACACACACAAGATAATAAAAATAGTTATTTGCAGAGGATGCCTTCTTTCATCGTTCAAAGACGACTTTACCACTAGAACTCTGTCAATGCTTCATGCCTGTCTTGTGTGTCATGGAGATTTGGAACTGTTGGATCATACTGTCCAAGTGGCAGAACGCCATGGACAGCTGCCTGAACCTGTTGTGAAATCTCCCCTCATCTGGCCTCAGTCAAAAGCCAAAGCTTTGGGGTTATTCCAGACATGGGCCATAGTGACAGCTAAATATGTTGTTTTCCTAATCCAAAGGGGTCCCAAAAATGTTCAGTATCTTTTTTTATTGCTGTCAGAGAGAATAGATGCAGCAATCTCTTCACTTTGGAAGAGGCATCTCTCAACATAATACATGTAACTAGACAGAACTTTCACTGAGGAGAAAGTCACATGACGTTAATGCCTCAAGAATATGGTCCTTACTAGTTCCAATCAGTATAATGTCATCAAGTGTGGTAGACTGTAGTGGGATATTCACTTTGTCTCCTTCTGTGTCACTGAGCATGCCCATTGGGGGTGGAGCCAGGGGCAGAAGTGACCTGTGG